CTCCTTGTAGCTTCCTTTTTTTCTTCTCTTTTCAGTATTTTGCTGTTGAGCCACTCGAGTTCCATTCCGCCATTAGATTGGGTTGTATTGTTTCCCTGTTTACATTACAGATTGCATTTTGTTTAGTTTTAGCTTTGGATGGTCATCAAGGGTTAGACCCTCAGGCACCTTCTGTTGATGTCTATCCCCACTTTTAGCCAAAAGGAATAGCAAGTGACAACAGCAGGTCAGATCTCACCGCGCTTCTACCAATGAGTGACAATGACACCCTCAGCCTCACCTGACACAAAGACTTTCCAGCTCCAGGGAACAAAGTGCCAACAAAGTGAGAGTGGCTAGCACTGGGGTTGGTTAACTATGCAGTTCACCTGTTACACACCAAACAACTGGCGGCACATGGAAACACGATCAATTCACAATATCTGCCATAGAAATGATGACTTTTCAGAAATGTTCACAATACAAACTGCCACACCAGACAGGACATTTCAGAGATTACAATATAGTAGCACAGGAGACAGATTCAGAGATCAGTTCTGCCTGAATGCATTACAGAAGATTTTCAAATATCATTTGTTCAAAGACAGCAAAAATGGTGCAAATCACATTTTTACAGAAAGAAAATATTGCAAAAGATAAAAGAATATAATACAACAGGAAACAATAAGGGATCCTAGTTCTCCGATGGGCTGTTCCCCGTTCTCCAATGGCCTGACCCCAGTTCTCCGATGGGCTGATCCCAGTTCTCCGATGGGCTGCTCCCAGTTCTCCGATGAACTGATCCCAGTTCTCCGATGGGCTGTTCCCAGTTCTCCGATGGGCTGTTTCCAGTTCTCCGATGGGCTGTTTCCAGTTCTCCGATGGGCTGTTTCCAGTTCTCCGATGGGCTGTTCCCAGTTCTCCGATGGGCTGTTTCCAGTTCTCCGATGGGCTGTTTCCAGTTCTCCGATGGGCTGTTCCCAGTTCTCCGATGGGTTGATCCTAGTTCTCTCCGATGGGCTGATCCCAGTTTCTCCGATGGGCTGACCCCAGTTCTCCGATGGGCTGATCCCAGTTCTCTGATGGGCTGTTCCCAGTTCTCCGATGGCCTGTTCCCAGTTCTCCGATGGGCTGACCCCAGTTCTCCGATGGGCTGACCCCAGTTCTCCGATGGGCTGACCCCAGCTCTCCGATGGGCTGACCCCAGCTCTCCGATGGGCTGAAACCAGCTCTCCGATGGGCTGAAACCAGCTCTCCGATGGGCTGACCCCAGCTCTCCGATGGGCTGACCCCAGCTCTCCGATGGGCTGTTCCCAGTTCTCCGATGGGCTGTTCCCAGTTCTCCGATGGGCTGATCCCAGTTCTCCGATGGGCTGTTCCCAGCTCTCCGATGGGCTGATCCCAGTTCTCCCCGGTTTCGGTGTGATTGCTGATAACGCTTTGTAGAGTTTACTGCTAACAGCCATGATAACCAACTACTAAATGACTGCAGTGTTCTGTTCCAGATTTTCTGTTCAGAATTTCAATGAATTATTTAAATATTTAGCTATGGACAGCTGTAAAAGATCTACTGAATAAGATTTATGGTCCTCCTTCCCCCTCTGGAATGTATGATAATGCAAGGAAATTTTAATGTAATTCGTTGTATCTGGTCTTGGTCTTTTCTGGGTCTTGGTCTGGTCCTGCTCTGATCTTGCTCTGGTCCTGCTCTGATCTTGCTCTGGTCCTGCTCTTGTCTTGCTCTGGTCTTGCTCTGATCTTGCTCTGATCTTGCTCTGATCTTGCTCTGATCTTGTTCTTGTCTTGCTCTGATCTTGCTCTTGTCTTGCTCTGATCTTGCTCTTGTCTTGCTCTGATCTTGCTCTGATCTTGCTCTTGTCTTGCTCTGATCTTGCTCTGGTCTTGCTCTGATCTTGCTCTGGTCCTGCTCTGGTCTTGCTCTGATCTTGTTCTTGTCTTGCTCTGATCTTGCTCTTGTCTTGCTCTGATCTTGCTCTGATCTTGCTCTGGTCCTGCTCTGATCTTGCTCTGGTCTTGGTATTGTCTTAGTCTGGTCTTGGTCTGGCATCACACACTGCACAACTGTCAGGGCTCCGGGTATGACCAGAGGTGTGTGGACTGACACAGGGAAACGCAGGCTTCAGGTATAGAGTAAACAAGACAATTTATTAAAAGACTAAACAACACAAACGCAGTGCAAGGTAAACATAACACAGTGCAAACAACCCAACCTCCAACAGATAACCATATATACAAATCAAACATAGTCGGGCAGGCCGGGTCGGTAGCAAACGGGCAAACAGGGTACAAGGAGCGAGCGGAAGAGTGGTCAGGAATAGCCTAGGTCAGGACAGGCAGAATTCGTTCAGAGTCAGGATCAGACAGGAAGCAGACAGGATGCAGGTACAGGGGCTCATGGGAAATATACACCAAGGCACTGATCACAGGCCTGGTCCTGCTTAAATACACCTCGTGCAATCAGCCTCAGGTGATAGCCTGATTGCAGGAGTGAGATTCTGGCTGCTGAGAGCACCCGCTGGACAGCCTTGGTACTGCAGCCCACAAGGCAGGTGAGTCCCACCACCATTGGCAAGTCCATTCCTGACAACAACATAGAGCTAAGTGTAATCTGAGACCTGAGTGGAGGGAATGGACACCCCCCCTCCCTCTACCCAGTCTCATAAGGAAACATGGAAAGCTATAGAAGGACATGCTTTGTTCATATTTCATTTTAGAGGTTTACAACCACTTTAATCCATTCAGCATGGGATGTGTAGATGTCGGTTGTCCGAAAACAGGAAGGGATTATGTAAGTAGAACAGGGGGGGTCCACAACTTTCACTCCTCCCATCCTTTCCTTGGACAATCACATGGTGATTGGATGAAGGTATTGGGGGCTCCCTGTGTAAATATAAATGTTGGGGTATCTTCCTGACGCTCTGAACTGAAGAATCTCCGTCTTGAAGAAGTCCAGCGAGATGTGTCTATCACTGGCTTCATACACCGTGTTCCACTTCATCAGGCCGGTGTCTTTGTGTTGAGACATTTTAAGTGGTGGCCCAATTACGGGTGACAAGTACACCGTGCAATCAGCTCCATGAACAATAGTCACCCTTGATGTTCTGCACCTTGCCGCTCGCCGTCTTCTGAGGAACTGTACGTGAGCGATTTAGGAAAAGCGCTTTCTTGGAAAGGTCTCTTCTGAGGGGATCGGCGAGGAAAGCTGCGTGCCGGGATGTAAATGGCGGCACTTTAGGAAGTAAATGAATTTGGTGAAATGATGCAGGAAAATGTCGAGCTTTGAGTTCTTATTGCTGAAAAGTGTATTTATGGCTAGAAATGAGCGGCGGGATGTCTGTCTGGGGATTTCATGCCTCCTTCTACGTCTCAGAAATATAAGAAGCGTTGGGTGTGATGAATGGCGCTGACAGTGGAACAAGTCGCAGCCACAACAAAATGTTTTTGCCTGAAGCCATGAATACAAAATGAGGCACCGGGGGAGAGAGGAAGGCGCTGAGCTGTGGGGTGTGTGGTTCCCCCACCACTAACTGCAGGAATGTGCCGGGGGGGGGGGGGCGGCCAAGACGCGGGGAGGACTGCTGACATCACCCAACCTCACTTATATCCTCGAATAAAATGACCAACATTGTAATGATGCAATATATATATATATATTGTGGCAGAGCGTCCCAAAGGAACCCTGGGAAAGTCCTGTTCGGGGTTTATAGATCTCCCAGGTTCCTTTCCTATAACTTTAGGGATCTCTAATATGAGGTCAGTGCAGAGTTCACCTCTCTCCGGGGGCAATTAAATCCACCTGTTACAGCAAGGATGGAAGAACACACTTGTCTACAGTATGATGGAGGATTACCAGGATCCATCACTGGAGACACTTCAACTCAATAATCTCTTCTAAATCCTTTGGTCGATACAGTGTATCAGTTTGGAGTGGAATGCCCCTATTACCAATACTGGTAGAGTTCTTTATTTATGGGCCTGCAAAATCAGGACTGATGTTGGATGAGAAGACCTGGATCACCATCATCATTCCAATTCATCTCAAAGGTGTTCAGTAGGTTGAGGTCAGAGCTGTGTACAGGACACTGGAGTTCCTCCACCCCAATCTGGTCATCCATGTCTTCATGGGCCTGCACAGACAGGACTGATGTTGGATGAGAAGACCTGGATCACCATCATCATTCCAATTCATCTCAAAGGTGTTCAGTAGGTTGAGGTCAGGGCTGTGTACAGGACACTGGAGTTCCTCCACACCAAGCTGGTCCTCCATGTCTGTCATGATCAGGGGTCAGGCTCAAAGACCAGTTGCTATAGCAGTGGAAAGGCTTACCTGAAACCAGCAGGATAGGTACACAGGCAGGTCACCGTGGCGGAGGAGTGGGATCAACCAAGGTGCAGAGTCTAAGTACCAACCGGTATTCACCAGAGCTCCTAATGGTGGAGGTGGATTTGGCTGCGTGTTAGCACCAGGTCGCGGTCCTCATGATCAGCCCACCAGGAGGTGAGCAAGCGGAGGTCCAGTAGCATATAAAAAGGTAAGGATCAAACGGAAGCGTGGTCAGTAAACAAGCCAAGGTCGGTAAGGAGCAGTCGCAGGTTGGGATCAGGCAGAAGCGTAGCCGAGAACAAGCCAAGGTCGGTAAGGAGCAGTCGCAGGTTGGGATCAGGCAGAAGCGTGGTCAGTAAACAAGCCAAGGTCGGTAATGAGCAGTCGCAGGTTGGGATCAGGCAGAAGCGTAGTTGAGAACAAGCCAAGGTCAGTAATGAGCAGTCGCAGGTTGGGATCAGGCAGAAGCGTGGTCAGTAAACAAGCCAAGGTCGGTAATGAGCAGTCGCAGGTTGGGATCAGGCAGAAGCGTAGTCGAGAACAAGCCAAGGTCAGTAATGAGCAGTCTCAGGTTGGGATCAGGCAGAAGCGTGGTCAGTAAACAAGCCAAGGTCGGTAATGAGCAGTCGCAGGTTGGGATCAGGCAGAAGCGTGGTCAGTAAACAAGCCAAGGTCGGTAAGGAGCAGTCACAGGTTGGGATCAGGCAGAAGCGTAGTCGAGAACAAGCCAAGGTCGGTAAGGAGCAGTCGCAGGTTGGGATCGGGCAGAAGAGTAGTCGAGAACAAGCCAAGGTCGGTAAGGAGCAGTCGCAGGTTGGGATCGGGCAGAAGAGTAGTCGAGAACAAGCCAAGGTCGGTAATGAGCAGTCGCAGGTTGGGATCGGGCAAAAGCGTAGTCGAGAACAAGCCAAGGTCGGTAAGGAGCAGTCGCAGGTTGGGATCAGGCAGAAGTGTAGTTGAGAACAAGCCAAGGTCGGTAAGGAGCAGTCGCAGGTTGGGATCAGGCAGAAGCGTGGTCAGTAAACAAGCCAAGGTGGATAAGGAGCAGTCACAGGTTGGGATCGGGCAGAAGCGTAGTCGAGAACAAGCCAAGGTCGGTAATGAGCAGTCGCAGGTTGGGATCCCGCAGAAGCGTAGCCGAGAACAAGCCAAGGTCGGTAAGGAGCAGTCGCAGGTTGGGATCGGGCAGAAGAGTAGTCGAGAACAAGCCAAGGTCGGTAATGAGCAGTCGCAGGTTGGGATCGGGCAGAAGCGTAGTCGAGAACAAGCAAAGGCCGGTAAGGAGCAGTCGCAGGTTGGGATCAGGCAGAAGCGTAGTCGAGAACAAGCCAAGGTCGGTAATGAGCAGTCACAGGTTGGGATCAGGCAGAAGCGTAGTCGAGAACAAGCCTAAGTCGGTAATGAGCAGTCGCAGGTTGGAATCAGGCAGAAGCGTAGTCGAGAACAAGCCAAGGTCGGTAAGGAGCAGTCGCAGGTTGGGATCAGGCAGAAGCGTAGTCGAGAACAAGCAAAGGCCGGTAAGGAGCAGTCGCAGGTTGGGATCAGGCAGAAGCGTAGTCGAGAACAAGCCAAGGTCGGTAAGGAGCAGTCGCAGGTTGGGATCAGGCAGAAGCGTAGTCGAGAACAAGCCAAGGTCGGTAAGGAGCAGTCACAGGTTGGGATCAGGCAGAAGCGTAGCCAAGAACAAGCCAAGGTCGGTAATGAGCAGTCGCAGGTTGGGATCAGGCAGAAGCGTAGTCGAGAACAAGCCAAGGTCTGCAATGAGCAGTCGCAGGTTGGGATCAGGCAGAAGTGTAGTCGAGAACAAGCCAAGGTTGGTAATGAGCAGTCGCAGGTTGGGATCAGGCAGAAGCGCAGTCGAGAACAAGCCAAGGTCGGTAATGAACAGTCGCAGGTTGGGATCAGGCAGAAGTGTAGTCGAGAACAAGCCAAGGTCGGTAAGGAGCAGTCGCAGGTCGGGATCAGGCAGAAGCGTAGTCGAGAACAAGCCAAGGTCGGTAAGGAGCAGTCGCAGGTCGGGATCAGGCAGAAGCGTAGTCGAGAACAAGCCAAGGTCAGTAATGAGCAGTCGCAGGTCGGGATCAGGCAGAAGCGTAGTCGAGAACAAGCCAAGGGTCAATAACGAGTGATAGCAAAATATGGATAACAGCAGAGAAGACAAGGAGCACGATACTGGCTGGAGAACACAATAATCTGGCAAACAGGAAGGGCAGAGACATGGCTTATATCAGGAAGTTCATGGGAGGAGCAAGGGGTTCAAGGTTCATGATAAACAAGGTCAAGGTAGGTTCATCCAAATAATTGTCAAGGGAGCTGTCCAGCATTCCAGGTGGCTCAGCAAGAAGAAACATTGCCAGTCAACGCAGAAGGCCCAGGTTCAGACCCAGGCTCTGACAATGTCCTATGGAGCTGGCTTTGTACACAGGGGACAGTCATGGGGGAACAGAAAAGGGTCTTCACCAAACTGGTCATCCATGTCTTTATGGAGCTGGCTTTGTACACGGGGGGACAGTCATGGAGGGACAGAAAAGGGTCTTCACCAAACTGGTCATCCATGTCTTTATGGAGCTGGCTTTGTACACAGGGGACAGTCATGGGGGAACAGAAAAGGGTCTTCACCAAACTGGTCATCCATGTCTGTATGGAGCTGGCTTTGTACACGGGGGACAGTCATGGGGGAACAGAAAAGGGTCTTCACCAAACTGGTCATCCATGTCTTTATGGAGCTGGCTTTGTACACAGAGGACAGTCATGGGGGAACAGAAAAGGGTCTTCACCAAACTGGTCATCCATGTCTTTATGGAGCTGGCTTTGTACATGGGGGACAGTCATGGGGGAACAGAAAAGGGTCTTCACCAAACTGGTCATCCATGTCTTTATGGAGCTGGCTTTGTACACGGGGGACAGTCATGGGGGAACAGAAAAGGGTCTTCACCAAACTGGTCATCCATGTCTGTATGGAGCTGGCTTTGTACACAGGGGACAGTCATGGGGGAACAGAAAAGGGTCTTCACCAAACTATTACCACAAGGCTGGAGGAGCACAGTTGTCTCCAAATGTCTTTGTATGATGGAGGATTACCGGGACCCTTCACTGGAGACACCTGAACACCATCATTGGAAGGGGGTCCACGTGTTTTCACCATATAATGACCGTCAGGGTTTGCTCTTTGTATACATCAATGTATATGTTCTCTTTCATACCACAATCTCTTCCTGCAAGGCGTAGCAGTTAATTACTTTCTTCTATTGACTTGCTTCCCAAATATTCGTCCTCATACTTCTTCTTCTGTACACCGAATGTACGTGCGAAAAACAGCAGCTGCTCCTCTTCCTTCTCGGCCCGGCGCAGATGGTCTTCATGAAAAGCCAGCGAAGCCAATCAAGTTGAATATTTGTTAAAGTCGTAGCCGAAGACAATCGTCCTTCCTACATCCTTCTTCTGTAGACTCGAGGAGCTGCATAATCAGGTTGAGGATGGAAGACATGAATACAAAAGTCAGAGATAAAGACACAAAAGGGGGGCAGAGGAGAAGAAAGAAGTCCTCTAGGACGTAATTGGATGATGGGTCTTGTTGCCTTCTAAGGTCGGCACAGCTGCGTGTAGACAAACGCTGTCACAACAAAGAGCGAGCAAATCAGCGTGCCGGGCTTCAGTGTGGAAATATGATAATTCGAGGGAACGCGGCGTTCTTCGCGGGAACCGCTTGAAAGGAAACATTGTCTATCTCCAATGCTGCAGCACCACACGGGGATAATGAATGTACACGGAGACGAACAAAGATGCCGAAGAAACGTTCCATTCATGACTTGGTGTCTTCTCAGAGGAACGCTGGAATGTTGGAGGAACTCCAACTCCTCCACAACTTGGATCCTGCAAAATCGGTGGCATCCGGTGAAGTCACTCTTGTGGTCCTTTTCTATAAGCTCCACCCATTGTGTCATGTGATTATTTTTATCTGTAGGGACCGGCAAACAAGGGAATGGAGAGATAGATTTAGGGTTCCTAAAGTCCAACTCCGGACTGGAAGAGGGACAAAACCTGCTCCCCTCCCCCATCTCCTGCTATGGCAGGCTTCGGTGCTGTGCTCCTCTCCTGTGGGCGGTCCTTCAGTGTTATCATGTACAATGCAGGGCAATCAGCCTGGAGAGGGCGAGAGTGGGAATGGGAGCACCTTAGAGATGAGGCTTCAAGGGACCTGCCAACCCGCTGGGGGAGGGGATCCCGCTGGAGAGAGAAGTAAGGTAACTGTCACAATCTATTCCTCCAACACCCCACCCCCCACCCCCCCAGCAAGAATCAGCATGTAAGCCTTGTAGTGTGCAATGAAAATCATCCCGGCACGCAGGGACTGCGTCGGTGATGTAGGTTGAGCTGCGCATGCACAGGGGTCAGTCATCCCGGCACGCAGGGACTGTGTCGGTGATGTAGGTTGAGCTGCGCATGCACAGGGGTCAGTCATCCCGGCACGCAGGGACTGCGTCGGTGATGTAGGTTGAGCTGCGCATGCACAGGGGTCAGTCATCCCGGCACGCAGGGACTGTGTCGGTGATGTAGGTTGAGCTGCGCATGCACAGGGGTCAGTCATCCCGGCATGCAGGGACTGTGTCGGTGATGTAGGTCGAGCTGCGCATGCACAGGGGTCAGTCATCTTGGCACGCAGGGACTGCGTCGGTGATGTAGGCTGAGCTGCGCATGCACAGGGGTCAGTCATCCTGGCACGCAGGGACTGCGTCGGTGATGTAGGCTGAGCTGCGCATGCACAGGGGTCAGTCATCTTGGCACGCAGGGACTGCGTCGGTGATGTAGGCTGAGCTGCGCATGCACAGGGGTCAGTCATCCTGGCACGCAGGGACTGCGTCAGTGATGTAGGTTGAGCTGCGCATGCACAGGGGTCAGTCATCCTGGCACTCAGGAACTGCATCGGTGATGTAGGCTGAGCTGCGCATGCACAGGGGTCAGTCATCCTGGCACTCAGGAACTGCATCGGTGATGTACGCTGAGCTGCGCATGCACAGGGGTCAGTCATCTAGGCACGCAGGGACTGTGTCAGTGATGTAGGTTGAGCTGCGCATGCACAGGGGTCAGTCATCCTGGCACTCAGGAACTGCATCGGTGATGTACGCTGAGCTGCGCATGCACAAGGGTCAGTCATCTAGGCACGCAGGGACTGCGTCGGTGATGTAGGCTGAGCTGCGCATGCACAGGGGTCAGTCATCCTGGCACTCAGGAACTGCATCGGTGATGTACGCTGAGCTGCGCATGCACAAGGGTCAGTCATCCTGGCACGCAGGGACTGTGTCAGTGATGTAGGTTGAGCTGCGCATGCACAGGGGTCAGTCATCCTGGCACTCAGGAACTGCATCGGTGATGTACGCTGAGCTGCGCATGCACAAGGGTCAGTCATCTAGGCACGCAGGGACTGTGTCAGTGATGTAGGTTGAGCTGCGCATGCACAGGGGTCAGTCATCCTGGCACTCAGGAACTGCATCGGTGATGTAGGCTGAGCTGCGCATGCACAGGGTCAGTCATCTTGGCATCACAAAGACAAATATTTCCCCAAATCTTCAGACAACAAAGACCCAACAGAGGTCCCTCCACACCCCATGGCCTCTGTCCTTCCAGGTGAGGATCGTCCTCCATGTTCGTTCTCGCGGCGGGTAATGAGAAAAGCTGCATCTAGACTTTCCTTCTTCCTGTTTCGGAGGAGACGTCACCTGACGTTCCATTTCCAGGCGATTTCTCCTCATCTTCATGGAAGATTTTATGAATAATTGGCTTTGATTCCGTGGAGATAAAAAGCATCGAATCCGTCATTAAAGGCGACTCCGAGCCGCACGCCGCGCCTTCCACATTCAATTACAAGCCATTAGCGCTGTTAATGAATGCAGCCCGGCCGTAACCCGCGCCCTCCGCTGTACCATGAAGTGCGGTCAGACGTGGAGGGGACGCCGGTGACGCACGCGGTGCACCGTGCAGAGATGTGGAGACGTGTGGCCCCTTCCCTGTGGGGCCCCGTAGTGCCTCCACGTTAATTATGCAGAGATGTGTGCCGCCTGTGGCCATCAATTAGATTCCAGCTGTCCTGGTTTTACCTCGGCACGCGGCGTCTCTCTGGTTGCCAGGGGCAACGCTGATACTTTCCGCTCTGTATTCCCAGCGACGGCTCTCTGGTGGGCGGATCGTCTGTAGAAATTCACAAATCTGTCCATAGGTGCCGGATCCGACCTTCACCATCCCGGCACCCCGGCAAATCCTACACCCGGCAAATCCTACACCCGGCAAATCCTACACCTGGCAAATCCTACACCCGGCACCTGGCAAATCCTTCACCCGGCAAATCCTTCACCCGGCAAATCCTACACCTGGCACCCGGCAAATCCTACACCCAGCAAATCCTACACCCGGCAAATCCTACACCCGGCACCTGGCAAATCCTTCACCCGGCAAATCCTTCACCCGGCAAATCCTACACCCAGCAAATCCTACACCCAGCAAATCCTACACCCGGCACCCGGCAAATCCTACACCCGGCACCTGGCAAATCCTTCACCCGGCAAATCCTACACCCGGCACCTGGCAAATCCTTCACCCGGCAAATCCTTCACCCGGCAAATCCTACACCCAGCAAATCCTACACCCGGCACCCGGCAAATCCTACACCCGGCAC